CATCGCTCTCCACTCCTTCTAGTAACCTCAGTTCAGCAGTCAGATTTGAAGGGTTTGTTTTGTCTGTTCCTGTGTTCCTTTATATTCCATGTACCAGTAACATTGTCCAGTATTCATCCTTTTCTTTCTGATTAATTTTGCTTAGCATAACCCCCTCCAACTCCACCCACATCGTTCAAATTATGAAATTTCATTTTTTATAGCTGAGTAATATTCCGTCACACACACACACACACACACACACACACACACACACACCCCACATCTTAATCCACTCATCTGTTGTTGGGAACTTAAGTTATTTCTGTAGTTTGACTATTGTAAGTAGTGCTGCAGTGAACACAGGAGTGCATATATCCCTGTGAATTAATGTTTTGCATTCTTCAGGTAGATACCTAGGAGTGGGATTGCTGGACCATTTGGTAAAGCTATCGTTAATCTTTGCAGAAACCTCCACACTATGTTTGATAGAAACTGGACTAATCTACATTCCAACCAGTGCTGTATGAGGATTCATTTTTCTCTACACGCTCGCCAAAACTTGTGATCACTGGATGTGGGCCATTCTCACAGTGTGACATGGTATCTCAGTATAGTTTCAATTTTCATTTCCCTGAAGATAAGTGATGATGAACTTTTTTTTTTTTCCATGTGTCTGTTGGTCATCTCTATGTTCTTCTTTGGAAGAGTGTCTTTTTAGCTTCTCTGCTTGTTTTCTTCTCTCTTCTCCATCCTTCTTACTTTGCATCAACAAACTTGTCCAGAACATGCAGCACCTTAAACAGACACTTGCAAAAAACCCCAAATCATTCAATTGTGGTTATGAATTAGAGTTGTTATTTGTCATTTGAGTTGTTATCAACATGAAAAGATTTATGTGGATGTGCTTTTTACCTGTAATGCAAGAATGGGTTTTGTGTTGATGTTTTTAGTGACAAGCATAGTGGATCAGAAACCAACGAGAATATGAGGTTTGCCCTTAGTTTTCAACATGTATTGAATCAGCAAAGTGTTCGCTTAGAAGCACAGTCAGTAGCAACACTTACTCAGAAGACTATGGATTTTGCTCTGCAAGTACATATAAGGATTTCATCTGCTACAAAATTGTCCCTTTTAATCAGGCTTCATCTTAATCAGAAAAAGCAGCTCTTTGCCTTGTCATGTAAGTTTTAGTTTTATTCCCTCCCCTGTCCTTGCCTTCATCCCCTGCTGGAACTAATAATTCCTTTGAAGCTGACCTGGTTACTATGTCTTGATTAATTCCATGCTGCAGTCCTGTCTAGCTGTAATTGCAGCATGCCAAAGCAAAAATCTTAATGATTTACACCAAAATCAGATGCCGGAAAATTGCTTTTGAGGATGTTATTGAAGATGATTTCTCAGGGGCTGTGATGGTGGGAAACATCACTTATATGCGGCAGAGCTGTGTCATCTGTGTCTAGGAAAGGGAGTGGAAAAGTTGGCAGACCAGCTTAAGGAAGTAAGGTAATCATTCTTGTTTCAGTGTATGTGTGTGTGTGTGTTGCTAATATATCAGTAAAGATAGTAAAGATTAGGCTTTGCTTCATGTAACACCGATAGCCAATATGAAAGAGACTTGCACAACATAGAAATTGTTCTTTTCTCCTGTAGATCAAAACAAGAACAATGTAGTCCAGACTTGGGATGTATCTCTGTGAAATCCTCAGATCCTGTGGCTTCCTCTGGGTCTCACCAGCCTTAGCTTATGAATTTCATCCTCATAGTCCAAGACGGCTGCCAGGACCCCAGCCTCCATAAATGAGTATGAAGTACAGTGTAAAAGAAGAGAAGGGTGTGCTTTGAAGTCCTATATGACACAACCAATAACATTCTTTTGTCCAAATACAATTATATGGATACATCTAACTTCTAGAAAGTATGGGAATATGATTTCTTTGCAAGGCAGCAAGGGGTCCAGCTAAAATTAGAGTTCTGTTATTAAAAAAGAGACTGAGAGTTGTTGGGGAAAAAATTAACAGTTTCCTTCATGTCAATCATTATTTTCCATCATCTCCAATCCAACTTACCTCTTTAATCAACTTGTCTCCTGCATGCATTCACATTTACCCACTTTTCCTTTAGCCCTGTGGCATTTTCTTGTTGGAAATGAATCCTCTGCTACCTCTAGGTAGTGACAATCACCTTCCACCAATCTTTTGCTGAGTGCTCCCCTTAGAGAAAATGCTCCCATCTTGGACTTCCTTTGACACTTATTTTCTTTACTATTTAAATAATATTTTTCATACCATACCTTACATGATGGTCACTTACAGTATATACTTCTGTATGTGTTTTATTGATCTGTATTTGTCACAGTCTATAGACTTCAAAAGGGCCTATTTTTTTTTTAAAGATGTTGGTTTAAGATTTATTTATTTTTATACAAGAGCTGGGGTTCAGGTCAGAGGTGTGGGAGAGTGAGAGGATTCACCAGAGACAGAGCGGTGAGCAGAACAGGCAGATGACCGAAATACACTGCTGAGGGGAGCAGCGGGCACAACAGGAGAGGTCTGCTGTGCCATGTGGGTTTCTCCCTGGCCAGCCAGGAATTGAACCAGTGCTGCAGAGACTACGGACAGCCTTATAGCACTGCGCTCAACCTGCTGTGCCACTGGAGAGGCCCCAAAAGGGCCTATTTTTAAGTATGACTTTGACCATATTCACTTATTCAACAAATATGTGTTGAATGACACCGTGTGGCAAGATAATGTGACAGGCAGGGACAACATGTCTCTAGGGGAGACAGACTAATGTGTAATTATGATGAGTGCTTAGTAGGGAATTTACTAAAGAAATAAGTGAATTTTTTCCACTTGTTTCACTTAGTTGACAGTTCTAGATTGAAAAATGTTGAAATAGTCTTATTTGCTAGAACAGATCAATACATTTTTAGAAAACCACAGGCATGAGTTGTGAACAACTTGAAGTATGTGACATCCGTATTCATAAGAACATCACCTATAATAAATAAATAATGTAAAATTTTAGTGAAGATGGAGAATTTAGACTCCAGCTGCTCTAGAAGGTTCTCCCTCCCCTTCAACTCTTCCCCCCTACTCTTTTTATTCTTTCTTTCTTTATTGCTGAAAAGAATTGGAGCAACTTATAAAAATATACAGCATCTAACAGGATGTAAGAAAAGTCAAGCAATTGGATTAAAAAAAAAATGGAAAAATAAGCAGCCAGAAGTGAGGTTAGTAAACAGAATGAACTGATGAAAGTTTTAAGGGCTTTAAAATTTTGCTAGGAGCACACCTACATTTAGATTTAAAATTTTAAAGCTGAGACAAGGAGGGCAGCGTGATAAGTTGCAAGATACAGTGTCTGTTCTTAGATGATATCTGTGAGTAATGAAAAAGTCTGATTAATGCACATTTAACAGTCATTTGATAACTATTTATCTGCCAGGGATGAACAGGAGTCATTGCTAATACAGGAGCTCTTTCTGGCCTTGGTTTGCTAGCTATGTGTATGACTTGAAGCATTTGCTGGTCGAGCACATTCTAATATTGCCACCCCCCCCACCCCTATAGATTTATCCTATTAATTGATTAGAAGTTATCATCATTGTTTTGACTTATTATACAAGTTTCAATTTAATGTTAATGCAAAAGGCCCCCCATAAAATGGAATTTATTTTCTCTCTCAAGGACTTATTCTCCTTAAAATATAACTAGAACCTGAAAGAGCTCATTCTGTAAAATCAAAGCTAGTTGCTTTTAAAATCTTACTTTTGTTTTACTCCAGGAGACAAAGTGCCGGGCTATCCGGACCACTGTTTTAAATCCCTCAATCTTCTTAAGAACCATTGCATTAAATAGGACTTAGGCCTTCATTTATGGGGAGGTTAGGACTTTATCATCCTGTGCAATGAACAGACGGAGATGAGTTCTCTGCTCAGGCAGGAGGTATAACCCATGAGACTTTAGGTTGCCAAATAATTATTTGATTTCCATCATGCTCTTTTCTTGAAAACTTGACTTTAGTCATTTTAATTCTGGAAGAACTCTTTGCTTACCAGTGTAGGGGAGTCAGCCATGCTGACGTAGGTGTCCTGAAATTTGCATTCTTAGATTCTGTGTTGATAAGTTAGATTTAAAAGTTGTGCTTTTCCACTGACTAAACTTTTCTGCAGATTTTAAAATTAATGAACCCAAACCGTTTCTTGTAGAATTTATTTAAAGAGTCATGTCCGCAGAACAAGAGCTTGTTCTCTTCCCCTGCATTTCCTCCCTAAGGAAACCATCCGTAAAAGGAAATCACTGATCAGTAAAAATGAGGCAGAAGGGTCGACTTGAGGGCCGCCACACATCTGCTTCCTCTGCCTGACATTAAAAGCATCCTTTATTTTAAAAGGTATTTTACTAATGAGTTCACTGGACCATCTCTGAGGGGCTGGTCAGAACTGGAGGACGGGTTAATCAACCTCAGCAAGGATTCCGGAGCATGATTTATACGTATTTGGGTTTTAGGATCCTTGGGGAGTCCTGGGGTAAAGGATTTGGGAAGTTTTTCTGTCTTTTATTAAAAACTGAATATTCAGGGCCTCCCTGGTGGCCTCGGGGTTAAGTCTCAGCGCTATCACCCCTATGGCATGAGTTTGATCCCCAGTCAGGGAGCAACCCACATGGCACAGCAGACCGCTCCTGCCTTGCCCGCTGCTCCCCTCAGCAATGTATTTTGGTAAATCTGCTTGTTGCTCCCCACTCTGTCTCTAGTGAATCCTCTCACCACCAATACCTCTGGCCTACACCTGAGTTCATCTATACAAAGATAAAAAAATAAATAAAGATAAAAATTTTAAAAAGCAATGAAAGCTGAATATTTGGGCCCTGGCGTACATGCATTTTTTTTTTTTAATTTGGCTCTATCCATGACATAATTTTTTTTTTAGTCTATAAGGAACCTGCTGTTTTCATGCCAGAGATAAGTGAATGAGAAATGTGAGGAGAAAGGTGCTTCCCTCCGTGTCCAGCTGAGTGGACTCTCCGTTGACCACAGAGAATGCTCCTGCAGGTGTTTTTCCAGGATTGGCTTTGGGTTGTTTGTCTTGGTCTTCTGCAGGCTAGTGACATAGGTAGTTGTGATTAGAGTTCAGTGAATGCATCTGCCTGGTATTCTTAATCCCATTATTATCTTGCCCCAAAGTTAGCACAGGTATCTAGTGATAGAGTCATTTCTATACCCAAACCAAAACGAACACAAACAAAAAGCTTGGGTCCAAAACATATATAAAAAAACCTTTGAGACTACCAATTGAGGAGGAATAGTTCTCTATGGGCATGATAGATTTTCATAAGAAGGGAGACCCAATAAATCTTGGTTGCATTTAGTTGCAGAAGCCGCCTCCGGAATAAGAATTTACATACAGATGTCTCAAGAAATTTGAAAAAGGCAAAGGGCTTAGGAGTGAGCCTGGAACGGAATATCTTTTATAGTTTGAAAAGTAGATAGATGATTATTTCTCTCCAGAAAATAATTATTATACTATCTATTTTTCTAGGACTTTTCATGATATCCCAAGTGGAAGATTATCTTACTGTTTTGCACATAACCAGAGGTAAATGTTCCTTATTTCTTACTGCTATAGAAGAAAGCTGCACTGATGAAGAATATAAATATTGATTGATGGGGTTATGACAGAAATTTATTTTCTTTAGAAATAAGCCACTTTCATATAACTCAATGTTTGAAATTACAATTATCTTAACATTTTGGAAAATTTTTCCTATAGAAGACAATTACCTACCACCCAGCTCAACACAAGAATCACTTCACAGCCTGTGAATACTCTGATTTTTCATCTTCAGGAAAGTTTTACAACTACTAATTTTGTACATTCTATATAGATTTCGCCTCCATAGCACAGGAAGGATTAGTTGTTGCATTCAGAGAAACTGCATTAGCCAACACAGAATTTGGGGGTAGGTTTCTGCAAGGAGAGATGATAACCAGGTCATCTAACTAACGCCCTTGGCAGGGAAGGAAACCACAGAGAGAAGTGGAAGCTGGGTGTGCTTCACTGTCATTTTGTTAATTTTTTCCTGATGATACCTTTGTGTACAATTTACTTTTTAAACTCGTCAAATATTTTTGAGTCTGTTTTAAAAATTAACCCTGGGACAAGGAAGACTATTTTTTTAAATTTTATTTTTATATTCCCCATACAATTGCAACCCCCTTATTTTGACCCCAACCCCTCCTTGGCCTGCCCTCCCCTCCCCCTGCCATAGTGTGTCTCTGGTTCATAGTTGTTTGTTGATTTTGATTTTTTCTTTCTTATAGTTATTCTTTTTCCTGGTCCCTTATTTAGGTTTTCTTGATTCCTGCTATGAGTGAGACCATCCGGTATTTTTCTTTTTCTTTCTGGCTTATTTCTCTGAGCATGATCCCGTCCAGCTCCATCCATGTTGCTGCAAATTGCATGTGTTTATCTTTTTTTGAATGCTGAGTAATATTCCATGGTGTATATGTACCACATCTTCTTGATCCAGAGGAAGACTATTTTGTGATGGGTAGATGTGGTATATAGAATAACACCCTCACCCCACCCCCAGCCCCCAGAACCTATGAACATGTCACCTTACTTGGAAACGGTACTTTGCAGATATAATTTTGTTAATGACCTTGATGTGGAGAGATTATCCTGGGTTGCCTGTTCCTGATAGTTGTCATTTCTAGTCCTCTAGGTTCGTAAAAGCGGAGAAGATGTCCAGGCTGTGAGCAGAAAGGGAAGTGATGATGGGTCGGAAGGCTAGGAGAGACCCCATGCAGCTTGAAGATGGAGCCAAGCAAATACGGGCAACCTCTACCTCTGGAAAAGGCAAGGTGACGGATGATCAAGGAGTCACCAGAAGGGAATGACACAGTCCATCGGCCACTGATTTTAGCTCAGTGAAACTGGGGATGGACTTCTGACTTCGAGAATGTAAGAAAATATGTGTGTGTTGCTTTAAGTCTCTCAATTCGGATGACTTGTTCCAACACAATAGAAGATCTAATACAATAGAGATTTTATTTAACAAGAGAAAATGGGAGGCAGGGATGAATGGGTCTTCTTTTAGGTGGAAAGTTGTAACATTTGGGATCTTAAAGGAGTAGGAATAGAACCTGGACTTTTTATTTTTGTTTTTTATTGAAAGATTTATTTATTTATACAAGCACTGGGTACAGTCAGAAGCGCGGGAGGGTGAGAGGATTCACCAGAGCCAGAGCAGGGAACAAAACAGGCAGACTGACTAAGTACACTGCTGAGGGGAGCAGAGGGCATGGCAGGAGAGGTCTGCATGCCATGTGGGACCCTTGCCTGCGGCCGGGGATCGAACCGGCACTGCAGAGGCTGCAGGCAGCTTCGCAGCCCAGCACTCAACCACTGCGCCACCTGGGGAGGCCCGAACCTGGACTTTTTAAATTAAGGTTTTTGTAGATAACTTGGAAATAGGGTTTCTCAGTAAAACCCCAGTTTTCCTTATTTTTGGCCTCTGTTCTAGCTGGTGAAATGTTGCATTTCACACAACTGGGAGATGTGGGCAAGATGCAGATGATAACTTCAGGGGGAAAATGACCCAAGTTATATAGTAATAATGCCATCCAATTATGCTTTATGGTCTGTTTCAGCTTCTGACCTGGTATCTTTAAATACAATTTTTGAATCTAGTTGGTTACCCAGTGTTGCTAGGGCAACCTAGACAAAAGACTTTTACATTAACCTCAGGCATTGTACATCTATTAAACAAGTCTGGAGTTGGTGTTGAATAGCAATGGGACAGTTCTGATGCCCTACAATAGTACACTTTTTTTTTCTTCCCATGAGCAGAAACTCTTAGCTAGGAGAAAGCTGGAGGGAGAAAGAGACCCTGAACTTAAAAGAGGCCAACCTGACTCTCCTTAGAATAAACCCTGAGAGAAAGAGAAAAATAGATCACTTTAAGACATGCCACTCAACCTGGGGTAAGAATGCCTTTGGGAGTAAGTGGTTGATTCCATGAAGCATAAAAGGCTACAGGAACATTTTGTACCTTCTTCCTGGAAGTCAATCAATGAAATAATCTAAAGAGAAATATTTTTAAATTGTGAAATAATAAATTATGAAATAGAAGGCATGATATGCACCAGCATTCAAAGTAAAGACTTCAAAGGAATTGCAAGCCACCACTGACTGCTTGGAGACAGTAGGTGGAAGGTTTAAGAAGCACTGCTATAAAGCAACTACCTCAATCAACAGCCTTATACCTCCATCCGTATACCGCCTTCTATATTCCTTCCATGGGTACTGATAAATGACTGGGATTTTGGAGATATTTTCTTGTAAATGATAACCCGGAGTGTGCTATGTGAACTACTGTCTTGCAGCATCTACCTACTGTGTGTGTTTCTACAGCTTGCTCAGGTCTCTACAACTTGACCTGAACCTTTCTCTCCAGATGATGTCCTACTTTTCTCTATCCAAAGATCACCTTGTGTTATAGCCAGTTCCCCGCCCCCATTCTTAGGGCTCTGTCCCAGGTTGGGTTCCAGGGAAGCAGATTCTAAGAATGAGATTAATGTGCAAGAAGTTTACTACTAAGTGCTCTTTGGGATTAATGATTAATGTGGGCAAAGAAGCAGGGCTGGGTGCAGGGAGAAGCTGGGCTGAGATACAGTTTCAGTGAAAAACCTCAGTTGACCCAAAGGGTAGCTCTGACACTAGGCTGAGCCTTCAGAGTTGTCCCAGCTTGGGTGATAAGACTGTGTGCAGCTGATACTTGCTTCTGGCTGCTTGGGAATGAGGTTACTTGATTTTGCAAATACAATGACCAGTTAAACTTGAGTTTCAGAGTAGCAATGAATAAATAGCACAAGTGTGTCCATGCAATAATGGGAACATACCTGTACTAAAAATTATTTGTCATTGGAATACCAGTTTAGCTGGGTGTCATGTGCTTCACCTGGGAAGGGAGAGTGGCCCCTCAGGGAAGGAAAGCTACTTCTGGGGGGACTGCGGATGGGCCTCTGAAAGAGGAGGTTTTTGAGCAGGGTCCTGGGTGGGCAGGCTAGGTTTGGATGTGCAGGGGCAGCCCTGGAGAACACCCTAAGGATGCATGGGGGTCATTGTACCTTTGGACCAGGCACAAATTGTCTCTGGTGATTCCCAGAGAGGCCGGCAGGTGAGAGTTGAATGTGGCAGCAGGTGGGGCCCTAAGTCCTCTGTCCCCAGGGGGAGTTGTCCTGATTTCAGAGTGTACCACAGGTGCATTTCACTTTCCACTTGGCAGTGCAGGATGAGCTTTTAGGAGTCAGAAAATACCTTTTGGTGGGAATCAAACAGGCAGGCTTGGTGGTTCCTTTCTGTCACTTAAAATACCACTACAAGATAAGCTAGATGCAAGATCTCCACTCTTCTAATCCACAAGAGAAATAAAAAAAACAAACAAACCAAAACCAACATTCTCCTGGTTTTATTGTCAGCAAACAGGACTGACATGCATTGACAACTGGTTCTGTTGTGCAGAGTTTCAGAAAGACCATACACTAAAGGTCTCATATTTGTCAATGTTGCTTGACATTTAATCTCTTTTGGAAAACTTCTTCACCCAGCAAGTTAATTTGCTTGCTTATTTAAGTGCCTGTTTCTCTGTGAGGATAGAATAAAAGGTTATGTTACTTTATGGGAACATTACTAAGAAGTATGGCTTCAATGCACTTTTGGGTATCCTGCTTTAAAGCTTGTCAAGACGAAAATCTTATGCTGTGTATCAAGAGCATTAATATTTGAAGCCATCATCATTTAACTGTGTTTAACATGGACACCCAATTTTTTCCCTCTGAGAAACATCTTGACTTTCCTTGGGGGCTATTATTCCTTTGCTTGTCTCTTTTGTTTATCTGAACTTATTTTCAGGCATATGTCATTTTTTTTTTTGAGTCTTATTCTAATTTCTGACCTAGCTTAACCGAACCAAACCATGCACATCCATGCATTTCACAGGAACATAGAGACCTGCTCTCCAACTGCTTTCAGGAAATACCACCTTCATCCTAATGATCAAATCGGATCAAATCCAAAAATATGCAGGGTATGGTTCTTGTAGATGTTATGAAATTTATATCTTGACAGCTGAAAGCAACATTCTTTGGCACCATTGTTTTGACTTTCATAAAATTGTTTTTAAGAAATTGTGTTTTAATTTCATCCTCTGTTTGCCTGGAAGAAATTATATGAGCAGCAGTCCCTCTGCCCACCTGTGCCTATGCAGGTGCTACTTTTCACCAAATCTGTCCCACTGCAGGGCCCAGGCTCCTGCCTGCCTGTGACCTGTCCCATGCTGGGCTTTTCCTCACTGACCTCCCACAGAGGAGGCAGCTCTCCTCAAGGCCGCCGGTCTGTGACCATGCAGGCTTCTCTTAGCACACCTGTCCCTTTTGGGGCAGCTCTTCCTGCCCGATGTGTCTATGCAAGTGTCTTTTACTCTTCTGTCTCTTTTCCTAATAAACCTGTTCTTTAAATATGTATAAAAAAGAAATTATATGAGAGTTCTGTATATCCCGCTAGTAACAATAAGTTGCTAGTGATAAAAATGATACTACTTATTATTCATAATAATTCATCAATTCATTGAGTAAGCAGATGTTAAGCAACTTGGACCTACCAGAAAATCTTTTAAATTCTGGGTGAGATAGAAAAAAATCGCTGCCTTCACTGAATTCATATTTGAGTCAGTGGCAGGGATAAAGAGAAAATGTAAGCTAATGATAAGTGCTATGGGAACACATAAAGTTAGCAAGGGGGGAGAGAGTTGTGATTTTTATTTTTATTTGTTTTTAAAGATTTATTTATACAAGCACTGGGTACAGTCAGAAGCGCAGGAGGGTGAGAGAATTCACCACAGCCAGAGCGGGGAGCAGAACAAGCAGACTGATGAAACACTGCTGAGGGGAGCAGCGGGCAGGGCAGGAGAGGTCTGTCATGCCATGTGGGACCCTCGCAGGCGGCCGGGGATCAAACCAGCACTGCAGAGACTGCGGGCAGCTTCGCAGCCCAGTGCCCAACCACTGCGCTGCTAGGGGAGGCCCAAGTTGTGCTTTTTAAATAGGTGGTTTCTCCAATGATCCCTATGATGACTCATATTGTTTGCTGCCCCCCCCCGCCCCCCATTTTAGCATCAGGATGTGGTTCACCATTTAATCCCATGAAGAGGTTGTTCATTATATCACTTGGTGTCCTTGTTATAAGGACCTGTGGGAGAAGTTATGCTTCGGGTGGTGGAACTAGCAATAGCTGGGCTTCTTCTGAGTCACTGGTTTCTTTTTATCTTCTGGGCACCAAGACTCATGTAACAGATCATTTACTTCTTTGTTTAGACTAAAGGAAATTTAAACCTTTGGCATGAACTGGGAGTTCTGACCGTACCCTTGGCTTCAGCTTACCCTTCTACCTCATTTTAGCCTTTGTCCTAATTGACTCACCTACTTATTTTAAATTTTGTTTTATGGGCCTCCCCGGTGGCACAGCGGTAGAGCGCTGGGTTGCGAAGCTGCCCGCGGCCTCTGCGGTGCCGGTTCAATCCCCGGCTGCTCCCCGGCCACCTGAGGAGGGTCCCACATGGCGCGCAGACCTCTCCTGCCGCCCGCTGCTCCCCTCAGCAGTGTACTTCGGTCCTTCTGCCTGCTCTGCCCCTCGCTCTGGCTCTGGTGAATTCTCTCACCCTCGTGCGCTTCTGACTGTACCCAGTGCATGTATAAACAAAAACCAAAACAAGCAAACAAATAAATAAAGAAAAACATGCCTCTAAAAAAAAAAAATAAATAAATTTTGTTTTATGTTCTTATGTTTACTTTGATATTCTTCCTTAAATATTTTTCTGAACAAGATAAGGGAATTAAAGCAAATGCCCAAATACTTACACAATTACACATATTAACACACACACACGACCATCATGTGGAGGTCTAATATATCTTATTGCACTGTATTTTGAACCCAGAGTTCTTATCTGAAAAATTCTTTCTTTCATGTTTCATAGTACCTAGCTTATATATGTACTCAGCAAATATTTATAGAATAGCACCGTTAGTGGTAGTTATAATTTAAATGAGAAATATATTAATGAATATCTTCAGAATTTTTTTCCATTTGAAAGCAACAAAAATTTTACTGGTTTAATTAATTTGAAAGGAAACTTGCACCCCCATGTTTATTGCAGCACTATAGTAGCTAGATATGGAAACAACCCAATGCACAA